AATATAAAGTGCCTTTTCTAGCCATTGTGACAGGAAAGGAATGTACAGGTTTCTCAAAAGAAGATTGCAGGACCCATGCTGATCTAATTTATTTATCTTCCTGCCAGGAAAAAAAAAAAGAAAAAAAAACCCTCATGGATGTGGCACTTATTCAATGATTATTTGATATTTTAGATACTCAGGGTATATTTGGAAATATTTTTAAATTGAGTTTTAAAACTTCTATAAAGACAAAATATACTCCTTTCCAGTCTTAACTTCTGGACAGCCACATTGAAAAGTGCTCCTCACATGCAGAAAGAGATTGATGATTAGAAGACAACACATGGAAATATGACAATTATTAAGTCCATGGACAGATTATAATGTTAGTCAAGAATGACTCATGGGATTGTATCTGGCTTTGGGTTCGCGTGTTAGCAATAATCATTTGGAATAGCTCCTTTAGCAAACCAGTCACCTCATTTTGCTCTTTCTTTACCTCAAAGGAGGGGAACAATGAAAGAGGATCCTTGCCTGGAGTGCATGAGCACACTCAAGCCAATGTGTGCTACGCGGAGGAGAGGCGGGGTGTATGGCGATAACTGAGGCTCTGAACAAAAGGAAAAAGTCCTTCGTGTCAGAAATCTGCTTTGTAGGAGTTGGGTGGTTTTTAAAGGGTCTTGTGCAGAGCTTCTCAAATGTGAATCCACGTAGGAGAGACATTACTTTTAAAAATTCTGTAAGTAAATAAATTATTTATTAATAAGCAAGCGTATTAGTGTTTCATCAGTTCTAGGGATGGGCTCTGTTTATCTCAATATCCCACTGCTGTATTAGCTTCCTAGGGCAGTAATTACCACAAATGTGGTAGCTTAGCACCATAAAAATGTATGCCCTTACAGTTCCAGGGGCCAGAAGTCTGAAGTGAAAGCGTCATCAGGGTTGGTTCCTTCTGGAGGCTCTGAGGGAGGACCTGCTTCCCGCCTCTCCTCCAGCATCTGGTGGCTGCCCACAGTTCTTGGTGCTTCTGAGCTTGTAAATGCATCAGTCCAACCTCTGCTTTCTTCTTCTCGTGGCCTTCCTCTCTGTGTCTCTGTATGTCTCTTCCTTTTCTCTTATGAGGATACCCATCATTGAATTTAGTGCCCTTCCTCTTCCAGGATTTGATCTCTAGATCCTTGCCTTAATCACAATGGCAAAAATTCTTACTCCAAATAAGGTCACTTTCACAGTTCTGGTTTCACATTCTTTTTTGCGGGGGGGGGGAAATATTTAACCCACTACAGTAGCAATGGTGTCAGTCCCTGGAAACTCCTAGGTTCATAGTCTTAGTTTCATGTCTAAGCTCTCTCTTTTTCTCTTTCCTTTGTTTCACTTTCTACTTCTCTTCCCCTCTAACACACACAAAACAGAGTTTGTAACTTGATTACTCCTCCTCCATTGCAGTGCTTGACAAACTAGAGTAAGATATAGACACCAATAAAAATAAACACTTTCACAGACTCTGGTTGAATTTAACTATCTTAATTTCATTTCAATGTGCACAATGTAGAACTAGGTTTAAAGTTCTTAAGCATGAAGTTCTTATGCAATTGTAAAACAAAAACAAATCTATGAACTAAAACAATGAAAGTATAAAACCAATAAAATTTAAATTTATTCATTCCAAAAGGTTTTTATTGAGTATCTATTATGTACCAGATACTGTCGAAAGTGCTAGAGATACAGTGATAAAACAGACAAAAGTAGCTGACCGCATGGATTACACTTACACACTTCAATATATTGGTAATTCTGAAAGAACCAGGTAATATTAACATGCCCAAACCAAACACAACGCACAATGGACTCTCTGAAACTAACTGCTACTAACGAACGTCATTTGAGTTCAGCCTATCTATGCCACCATTTACCACATGATAACCCAATTCTACAACCTTTTGTCTGTATTCCAGTAACTGCAAACATTTCCTCCATATAATGAACTATAATATCATATGGTACAATCACATCATTTACATATTAAACTCACCATTTTATTTTCTCATTCAGCTTCAACATTTTAACAACAGATCACTCTGCCACACCATCCCATTTTCTTGCAAACCAAATCAACAAGTCCATATATCAAATAACCAAGGAACCAAAATCTTGCTCTATGAAAGGTCCTTCTGAGGGCAAATTTCACTGCAAAGGAGAAATTATGCCTTTGGAACTAATTTTTAAAATTTGACCTGCACACTCTGGCATTTTTTTTTTTTTTGCATGTCCTGGTTTATAGCTTCATCAGGATTCCCTATATTTCTAGAGCCTTAATTCCAAAAGCACACAAGGATGGAAAACACTGCTCCACCCCAATATTTCATATACTCATCCCCTTATTTTTTCTTTCCAGCATTTGGAAGAAACAATGGGATATGTAAAATATATTTGCCAAATTTCAACTGAACATTTTAGCACTTGCTTAGCTGTTACCTGCCAAAATAACGAATATCCCAGAAGCACCACAACACATCTTATCAGAGAAAGACAGAAAGCCAGAGACAAGGGGGTTGTAGGGAAACTGCTGTTATTCTGTAGTGACCATTTATGGTCATTCATACCTCCTTGATGCCTTATGCTGCCGGGACACGTAAATCCCAGGCATCCACAGGAGCAAATGCACCAGAGCTCATCATTGTTACATAAATAGTTTAAAATACATATTTTAAAGTCATTTAGGACAATTTTGTTCTTTGAGCATGGCTAGTGTTTAGACTCCTGGGTAAACAGTCATCTGCTGAACAGCGGCAGCCAAGGAATGGTTACTGTGATTTTGACTTTAGGAGCAACCAACCCAATGACAACCAGACGTGTCTAACAGCACAGTAAAAGTTAAATGCTGTCATTTTGGCAATTACATGGTGCCAATTCTCAACTACAAATACGAAGAAAATACAGCATCTAAATCATACAGCAGGGTTAGTTATAATATGGTTTATTCAGATGATCAAAAAGAAAAGGCAGCCTTTTCAAAATCTTAGGGAGCACTTGCTGGGCCTTGAGAATGTATCTATAGATCCTGATTGGGAAACACAGATCCATACATGTGTTAGACTTCCTTTGTCCGTTCCTGGTGTCCTAGCCATGGCCTCTCTAGACCTCTTATCCTTGGCTCACGGTCACATCTCTCTTTGCCTTTGTCTCCATCTACTCCAACCCATCCCCTACGCAGTAGCCTGAGTGATTGCCATCAGTTCAACCTACATTTTTTGAGACCTACCATGTACCAAATGCTATGCAAAGTTCTAGGGATACCAAAGTGACAGATATATGATTTCTGCATAGAGTTGACTCTTAAGCAACACAAGTTTTAACTGCACGGGTCCATTTATACACGGATGTTTTTTAATAAAAGTTACACCGGGAGTGCATGCCTCTCCTGTCTCCACTTCCACCTCCTCCATCTCCCCACCTCTGCCACCCCTGAGACAGCAAAATAAAGATAAAAAATTCTCCTACTCCTCAGTCTACTCAACATAAATGATGAGGATAAAGAAACTTACCATGATCCTCTCTCACTTAGTGAATAGTAAATATGTTTTACCTTTCTTATGATTTTAATAACATTTTCTTTTCTTCAGCTTACTTTATGGTAAGGATCCAATAAATAATACATATAACATACTAAATACGTGTTAATCCACTGTTCACGTTATTAGTAAGGCTTCTGGTCAATAGTAGGCTATTAGTAGTTCAGTTCTGGGGGAGTCAAAAGTTATCCATGAATTGTTTACTGTATGTGGGGGTCAGTACCCCTAACACTGGTGGTGTTCAAGGTTCAGCTGTATAAGGAACTCACAAACATGCACTCTTAAGGGGGTCTCTTTTTCAACAAGTCATTATCTCTTTCCCTCCTTCAAAGCATTCTTCAAAATGTTTACTTTACTCATAGTCTTCCCAGACTCCTCTCTTCAGAGCCTCCTCTCAAAAACACCTTCAGAATTCACCTGGCCATGAAGTAGACCCCATTCTCTCAGTGTTCACATGTAAGTTCATATTTTTACATACACATTTTTGTCAGTTTGTGCTCCCCTTTCTTCAGACTGTGAGCTCCTCCAAAATCATAACTTTTATTCATAGCTTCATTTTTTAAATGAATATATCCTAGTACCAACCACTGTGCCCCAGGAAGCAAACATCTACTGTTCTTTGTCAACAAGAGTGAGTCCTTTGTTACCCAATTCAATCTGAAAAGTAACCTCAGACAGTTTCAAAGGGTTAAGTTCTTTGCTCCTTGAGCATACAGCATTTGAGACAAGTCCAGGTAAAACTTGAACCAGAGTCTGGAATTTCAAAAGCCAGCCAATCTACAGAGCTAGGCTGGGCCTTCTGTGCACCTGAACCACCAGGCTTCTTGATCTAAGTCAGCCCTACAGAGCCCCCTGCTCTCCCAGAGTCTGAATTGAGGATTCAGTGCACAGAAGTTTGTTTGTTTCCTTTTACAATTTGTTCAACCTTCCCTAGGAGCCCCAACCTAAGTCACATCCTTCCTTAGTTCTGCTTGGCTCCTACTGTTCGCATTTTATCATCTAGTAGGAAAAACGGGCCAAGGTTTATATCATGACTGCCCAGAGTGATTCAAAAGATTTGTAACACTCACAATGTCCAGAAGACTAACAAGTCAAGACCACCTGAATTGCATAACAAAGTAATGCATAAAATAACCCATGAGCTTCTAGCAGCAGAATTTGCAATAACAGAGAGAGAGAGCAAACGAGATGTGGAAACACTCACTTTAGTTCACTACATTCTAGAAATCATTCTCTAAGATTCCGGTGATGGAGCAGAAACATTGCCTACATTCACTTGCACACACATACGCACACACAATAATAGCAGCAAAAGCTAAGAATTCTTCAGATACTAGCTCACTTAATCCTCATCATAACCCTATGGAGGTAGGTATTATTATTACTTGCTTTTTTGATAGACATGGAGAGTTTGTCACCAAGATCCCACTCCAAAAAAGGACTCACTTCTCAGCTGCTGGGGAGAGTGGTCAGTAGGTAGCCTCCAGCTCCTTCAGCGTCTGTCTCAACTGCAGAGCTGTCCTATCCAGAGTCATGTTCTTCACACAGGAACCCTGTGTCAGCAGAATGAGTTGGGGAAAGAAAGACCTGGCCACAGAAGCCTGACCTGGGGTAACACTGATGGACAATATTCACTCCAGGACTCCCCACTGAGCTATTCCCTATACTGTCAGGCCTGAATCACCGTTTGAATTCTCCCTCTGCCCTATTCCCTTCCTCCCTTTTCCTTTTACAGGTCTTGATCTCTAATCAATGCCCTGCACACCAAACTCCATCTTTTCATCCGCTTCCACACAGCCCAGCCTGGAACATGCATTTTACCCATGAAAACGTTGAAGAACAGGGTTACATAACCAGTAGTATCAGGAGCCAGATTCTAACCAGGTAGTCTAGTTCCCGATTCCATACGTTTTAGATATTTTGCTAGTCTACCTTGCAATATGTGAGAGACTTTAGGTTCTTCCCATCCAAAATTTCAATTAGCCTTAAACTCCTTCTGTTTCAGGGCTGTGAACAAGAACTGAGGACATCTCTACTGCCTCTTCCACTGTCTGTATTAAAGTTGTTCCACTTGGATTGACTACCAGATAGCCCTGTGGGTTTTCTTTGAAGAATCATCTCAGTGGCTCCACTAACTCAGAGAAGATATGCCGCCACAGTTGTGAAACCAACTACTCACTGAATTAGAAAACCAAGGAATAATCAAGAACTAGTCTTGCAAAGATCACTCAGTGAGCATCAATAAGGAATATACAAAAACAAAGTGAATGGCAGGGTGTATGGGGAAGTTTTCAGAATACTATTACTTTCATTTTTTTCACCTTGGATAAAAGAGAAGTAAAAATTATATTCTATATATTTAGGTCCAGAACAGGATATGTTTATGTGTGTGAAAATACATTAGAAATTAACAAAATTTACTGTAAAAATGTTTTTTCATTGGTGTTGCTAAATTTGCTTTTCTGAATAAGCTAAGGCTTATTTTGAGCAGAGGTAGGGTGAGGGTGTCTAATTATTATTTCAATAATAACAATAGACAAAATAATAGACAAGAGACGATAACAATATTATTGTCTCAATATGTCTCTTATTGAGACAATAATAATTGGACTCTCTCGCTCTACCTCCACTCAAAATAAGCCAATGAGAGCTAAGATATCACTTTCCATATGGCAGTCTTAGGAGAGAAGGACCAGTGAAAAGCTGAGCCCAGTAAAAATGAAAGGGACAAAGGGTAATTGCACTAAGTGCAGAAGCACTCCCAGTAAAGGAACCCAGCCCTGCTCGTGGGGAGCTGCCACCATGAGTGTAATGGAGTGTCCTTGTGGTGTGCTGAGACCCACTTCAGATCCATTTACCTTCCCTCAGAGAAATGGACCAACCACAAAATAGGTACCACCCAAGTTGTAGTCCAGTAGGGACCATGCATATTCCAATCGATCGCCTAACACATACATCCTAAAAGGAAACACCTGGACTGTGAGAACATTGAGAACTGGTACTGGAAGAGACTAAGGGTATGTTTTGCAGGATGGGAGGGGAACGGGAGGAGTTGGGTCTGGTGTCCCACTGCCATAATGCCCAGACAGCCATGAATACACCTATTTTCCTTTTCAGGGGCCTTGTGGTAAATGCCCCATATGATCATACCAGGTGAACGAGCTAAGGAGAATTGTTCACAATCTGTGTCCTGATACACAAACTCCTCAGCTAACTCAGAGGAGATATGCTGCCACAGTTGTGAAGTCAACTACTTGCCCAATTAGAAAACCATGGAACAATCAGGAACTAATATTTCCAAGATCACTCAATGAGGCTACAGTTGTCCTCCTTCTAAACTCTCACACTTCACCCTTGCCTCTCATTGGCCTTTTCTCCTTCTGCCTCCTCCTTCAGTTGTGTGTGTGTCCTCATTCTTCTGACAGTCTTTGAGTAAAAAATGAAAAATAACTGTTTTCTGTTTCTTTTTGTTGTTGTTGTTTTGTTTTTGTTTTTGTTTTCTTTTGTTTTGTTTTGTTTTGTGAGACTGAGTCTAGCTCTGTAGCCAGGCTGGAGTGCAGTGGCACAATCTCAGTTCACTGCAACCTCTGCCTCTCAGGTTCAAGCAATTCTCCTGCCTCAGCCTCCCAAGTAGCTGGAATGACAGGCACGTGCTGCCACACCCAGCTAATTTTTGTATTTTTAGTAGAGACCGGGTTTCACCATGTTGGCCAGGACCTCGTGATCCGGCCACCTTGGCCTCCCAAAGTGCTGGGATTACAGGTGTGAGCCACCGGGCCCAGCCAAAAAATAACTGTTTTCTAAGTTTTTTCTCATACCACTTCTAAGGTAGCTCTGGAGATAAAACAGAGGCGATATTCTAGAAACATATGGTGGCCATTTTTGTGATCGGTCTTAAAATGGGGCATTGTCTTTATAAACAAAATGACCCCTTAAACACTTATGGTGCCCTTGAGGTTCAAATGAAGGTAATAAATGCCCCTGGGTGTGACTCTCAACAATAGGCCACGAGGATCATGAACATCAGTACAGAGGCTGGGTAATGCCTCTTTTGTTGTTTGGTATTGCCTGAATTACATATATCAGTATTGTACCAACTCCACACTAGATGTTCGGCATACATTATCTCATTTGACTCTCACCACTGCTGTGAACGCCACCGCTAGATTTCTCCCCACAGTCTGGCCTTCTGTTCAGCTCTCTGCCTGGGATTCCTTCCCCTCCACTTGTCTAGGCTAAAGCTTCAAGGCCCAACTCACATCTCCCTCTTCCATGTAGCTGTACCCACTTCTCCTCAACTTGAGCGATCTCTCCTGTGAAACTCCGCAAGCCTTACATGCTATGGCACTAATTTGACACCTTGTCTTAGTCTCCTCCTTATCTGTACATCTTGACATTCCAACTAAAATGAAGGCCTCTTTGGCACAGGAATCAGTGTCCTTCATATATATTCCTGCTTATCATATTTTTAGAAATTTAGCCAGGCATGGTGGCTCTCACCTGTAACCCCAGCTACTCAAGATGCTGAGGAGGGAGGATTGCTTGAGGTCAGGAGTTTGAGATCAGCCTGAGTAATATAGTGAGACTCTATCTCTAAAAAAAATTTTAATAGAAATTTAAGAAATACAAAAAGTCCAGAGAACAACAGTCATTTCACTCAGAATAACGACTGTCCCTATTTCAAGTTACTGCTTCTAGACTCACCACCAACCCCTCCATTCCCCTCCTCATGGACCAGAAAGCCCTACTTTCATGAAGTTGATATGGCTTTTACGAACACCCATATGTGATATGAACATTATATGGCGTTTTAAGTATGGAAATTTAAATTTTACACAGAGGGCATCATATTCTACTATTGTTCTGAACCTTATTTTTTCCACTCAACATTTATAATTTTTCCACTACTAATTAATTGCATTCTTAGGACACATACCAAACACCCAAAAAGGATTTTGATAATGATGACAGTGCGGAAAGACACCAAGCAAGGAGTGTAGTTACAAATTCATTTGTAATGTTTTCATGAGCTCAAGAGTTCATTAAGAGCTCATAGCTAGATATATATTTTTTCGTTCCAGGTTCTCAACTTCCTAGTTCTGAGACCTAAGGCAAGTCACCTCACTGGTCTGTCTTGCAGTTTTCTCAGCTATAAAATGAAGGATAATACCAGTAGCTAATTTACATAGTGAGAAGTAAATTAACTAATGCATTTCAAGTTCTTAGAATAGTGCCTGACACATAATAAGCACTCAAATCATGATTATATTTAATAGTAATCATAATTAATATTATTATTATGACTCTAAAGACATAAGCAGGAGAAAATTTGAATGATATGAATTTTGAACCTTAAGAAAGTAGATAAGAGAAAGGGTTCACTGGGAAATGCATTACATTATCAATAGTAATTAATTTTATCTTTAATATTTTCCCAGAAAGTCTGATTCTTAGAGTCAAGGCATTTTGCTTTTTTATGTAGTTAGCTTTAGGCCTGTGGCCAATCAGTTGTCAATCATTTTAACCTCTAAACCTAACTCCACAGAACAGAATATTCTCAGAGCAATCTGAAAAGTGAATTTGTTGGCTGCAATTATACTGCAGTTTTTCAGCCTGCACTTTACAGAGTTCTTAGCTGGTAAGGAGAAATCCCCTCTAAAACCACTGTGACAAAGTTATTTTAGAACTTCAGTAGTTTTTCTTTCTTTAAGCCAGGTTTTTTTTTTTTAATGTTACTTTTACGCTCTCTCTATTTATTTATTTTGGCCTCGGTGGACTAGACCACAGCTAAAACTTTATGGACCTAATAAAATTCCCAACATTCTCAGACACGGGTCGTGATGTTTGTGCACTGGGCAGAAAACAAAGGTGCTTTATGAAGAGAATGGGCACGCTCAGAGATCAATGAACTGAGGTCAGGCACGCAGGATTGGGCTGCAGCTGAACTGTGGCACAGGCAGTGTAGGCCCTGGGTGTGTCCTTCACTTGCAAACTTCCTCTCCTCTATCTTCTTTTCCAGACAAGTGACACAGTGCTCTCACGCTGTCCCTAGATTACCAGAACCTCCTACCAGGATACTGCTGAGGGCTTGTCCTCCCCAGAATAAACTTTCCATCTTAACCTGCATGCATGGAACTTTCCATCTTAATCTCACATTCATGCCTTCAAAAATTATCTGTCCTGTGCTTCCCTCCCTCATAGGCTTTCTTTAGGTGAGAGTTGGTTAGTCTGATAAAGTCAGTTCATTTGTTTTCTCTACCTTGTAGGAAAGTCCTTTCAACACAGGCTTTCTGGAGCCAACATCTCAGTCCAAAGCTGTGGTTCTATTGTTGAGGAAGTAGGTAGAGCTTAAGGAAATCTTGAAATTATACCACATCGGAGGCTGTCTCATTTACCCACCTACAGGACTAGCCTCCAAAGCTTGTGGGTTATACAACACTGCATTTTGCTGCAGCTGTGCACGAGTCATCAGACAGCATAATTTCATCTTGCGTTTCGTTATGTGCTTTATAATTTTTCAATATACTTTTTTCTCACTTGATCCTCATGATACCTCTTCCTCGTTAGGTAAAACAAATCTGCTTCTGATTACTTTTCTATTTCCTGTCCCAAACAGAAGGTCTCTTACCAAAACGACTGGATGATATTGTTCACTTAAGGGGCTACATTATATCAGCTGATAAACACAAACCTCCTTTAGATGAGTAAAGTGGGAAATAAGTAAGCAGTGGTTCTTAGTCACTTGTAAGGGATTAATCATTTTAATAATTCAGGTAAGAATGACTATTCCTGAAAGAAAATTTAAATCCTCAAATAGTCAGTGAATATGGCCTTTCCATCTATTAAAATCTGAAAACTCAGTGGGAATATATTAAAAGATTAATTATGCCTTGAGCAAATAAACACTGCTGTCAATCTTCAGATAAGATTCAGAATGAGTTTTTTTATTCCAAAAATATTTCATCTATGCACTTGCCATCAGCCATGATGTTTTAAAAAATTATTTTTAACACTAACATCTTGTCATACTTCCTGCCCCTATATTTTGTCCTTATGTCTACACAAATTTTTAATTTAGATTCTATTTCCAGCAGATGTTATATCTTTTAGTGTTTGCTTTCTCTTTCATTAAAAAGGACAAGTAATACATTTTATCATTTTGACATAAAATTGCCTAAATAAAGGCGTTCAGAAATCCTGAATTATTATTCCTTTTTAATGGTGTGTGTGTGTGTGTGTGCACGCATACACATGCACAGGTTCTAGGAATAGGAGAACTCTAGAGAAGAAAGCTGTGTTTCACAAATGTCAGAAAAGAACATGACTATCATCCACTAATTCCTAAAAAGGTAATAGAGATGAGCATTTCAAATCACAATAAAAATTGCCACTGCAGAGCATTTTTAATATTCAAAACCATTCCCTTAAATATTAGCTCACTATTCTAACAAGCAACTCTCTGGGTAGTTTAAGTACGTAAAGATATGCATTTAGCTATATTAACACAAGTTTAACTATAGTTCTGTTTAACAGGCTACTAGCTCGTGAATAAAACTGACTTCATCCAAATTTTTCACTTTCCCTTCTGAGTGGAAACCCTTCACCCAAATTATCTGTGCCCTCCAGTCCTTTCTCTTCCCTCACTTTTCCAAAAAGGGAAAGATTTCAGTTAACACCCCTGTTAGCTTTAAGTCTATTTAAGCATCCCTAAAATATGCAATGACCTAAGTTTCTATTTGAGAAATCAAAGTTTGGGGGAAAAGGAAAGGACTCTTGAGCTCACCTGGTCGCTTGTTCATTTCCCAGCAAGGTTGATCTTGTTAACTGTAATACAAATAGAAAAAAAAGCATAAACGACAACAGAATCTCTGTGGCACTTTAAGCCTATAAAATTCTCAGAGTCTGGGAAATTGGCACACAGAGTTATTCTTGGCTTCTCACCTCCCTTGAGCAGAGAAGCTATTTTTTCATGCATGATGAGATATTTTATCCTGATTTTCTTGCTTTTCACTGGATGATCTCTAAGGTCTCCACTGATTATGGTTTTACTCAACTTAGTACCCTGAGAGTTTAGCACAGCAACAAGAGCTGACACCCAATAAATATTAAATGCTTGAACTGAGTGAATGAATGAATAAATAGATGAATGTCCAAATTTGGGATTAAGCTAGGATTGCAGCTCCAGGAGACAAGAGGAGCAGGGTAAATGGACTAGTGCAAATAATTGAAGGAACATTTTCAAGACTTATGTCATTGGACAGCCTTTAATGATATTACAACTCTGGGATGGTGAGTCAGCCTCAATTAATAAATATGTCTTAGAAACTGCACTAGGAGATTGAATTTCCTTAGCAAAGTATTGGTGCACCACCTGAGCAAGTAGTGCGTAGTCTATGAGACAAATAAGACAGTGAAACAGGTCATCAGGAAACGCTGTGTTGAGATTTTCGGTTTTGCAACAGGAAAGTTCCAATTAACTGCCAACTCAGCTCATCTAGCACCTCCACCAGAAACGCCTGAGCACCTAAAGATCACATTTTAAAAATTCACAACTCATACACAAACTTTCGGGATTACATCCTCACTCTAAAGTCAACTTTTCTCTTAAATAGATTAGATGAACCAATTTCTCTCCCAAATACCTATTACTAATTTGGTTAGTAGCAAGCAAAGGCTCTCTCACAGTGGGATCTAAGTCTTAAATAAAAGAACTACCCACCCCCATCCCAACCCCATAAAAGGCAAGTGGTTGATGTTAGATTGTTTCCTGAGGTTCCATAGACTGAGCGTTAAGACGAGGACCCAAGCCCTAAGAGTTGTGAAAAGAAGTGTTGAAAGGAGACTGAGACCAATAAGAAAGCAAGAGACTTGGGCACAAAGAAGAAGGCCTGCTTTCCCGTGAGCAAACCAGGAGTTATATAGTCAGGACTCCTCAATATCTGAGCACTCTTTCTTCCCTAAAGTTTTAGCAAATGATGGTCACAACCCATAGCTAGGAAACTAGACAAGAACCACCTACTGGAGACTCAGCAAGAGCTTCCTCCCTGGTGTCTGCATCAAGACTCGAACCCTAGTCTCACTGACAGCCACACCTCTCCCTGACTCCCTGCGACAAACAAGAAGGTGGAAGAGCTCAAGGTGCGAGAGCTCTCAAGGGAAACCAAAGTATTCCCCATAAGGTCTCCAGGGGATCTAAACTCCTCTCTTGGCACCACTTCCCAAAACTCCCCACTTCAGAGGTCAGCACTCCCAGGAGTGGGAAAGAGAGGCCCTTTTCAGGACTGAGCCCCACGTCAGGAGATCCAGGACTCCACCTGCAGGCTTAATGTCTGTAAGACGGTCACACTCCCAGGGGCTTCCCTGCCCCTCAGATGCTTTCATTTGCTCACAAATAAAGCAACAAGTGAAGGATCAATGCTACTCTCAAATAAAGGAGGAAAATGTGTTTTTCAAATGGAGTTTGATGGTTGGCTTGATTTGAGAAAAACTGTTCCTGATTAGTTTATCTTGAAATTCTTAAATTTAAATTGAGCATTAATGGATTGGGGGTAGAGGACAGCTTTATTTACATTTATGCTATAACCAATTTACTCTACTACATTAAAAATTAATATGTTTTAACAAAAAAAGTTTCAAAACGTGTAGCAACATCTTTCCCTTGAGATAAATGCCCTTGTGTACATGAGTGCATCAAGCTAGCCCTATTTGGGTCAGTGTTTGGATATGAGTATTATCAGAGAGTTATTTGAGCTTTGTCTTCAAATATTTTAAAGCATCCATACTCTGGCTTTAACCAAATACACATGAACAAAGCCATGATGATGAAACAGGATTTATAGAATTTTAAAGGAGAAGAGGAAATCTATAAGGATTATTTAAAAACTGATTAAGTAGAGAAATAACAATTTTAAAAACTGATGAAGTTGAGAACAGTTATATAATTTCTAATTATGGAATTACATATACATAAAATCCTGAGAATAACTTTTGACTTCTACAGAAAAGTTATCGTCTTTCAATACTGCTTTTACTTTTCTGTTCCCAGGTTAGCAAGACTGGAGCCTCCTAGTTTACCTCCCTTTGATTTTTCTGAGTTATGTGACAATCTCCAAACTTGCTTCTATCTCTCCTGCCTCACCACATTTCCATTCTAATACACTGTACTAACCAAAACATTCCTCAATAATAAGTATATCACAACTTAAATAGCTGGGGTAGTAGTGGGAAGAGAACTCACAAATGAATGCTATACTAGTAGGTGTTGTTACAAAATGGAAGTTAGATTTCTTCCCCTAATTTCTCAATAAAACTTATTTAATATGCTATTTGTGTGTTCGTTCATATTTCTGCAAATTACAATAAATATTTTATCTGGGAGATGGAAAAATTCAACACGCTCATTGATAAGACTACCCTCTCCTCATATATCTGTATATCTTTTTCCTTATTGCCACACTTACATAACTATTCATTTTTACTCTAGCACACATTGTTTCCTATTTGCAATTACACATATACTTACTTAGAGCATTTCTGGATTTGTAATCCAATGGGCACATAGAGCAATGTAGGGGAAAGATTGGGGGAATAAAATGAACAGAGCTTCAGGCACCTGTTAAACCTAATCGCGTGCATGAATTATAGTCCCAGAAACAGGAGAATCAAGAAAAAATGGGGAGAAAACTATTTGAAAACGTGACAGCCAAACATTTTCCAAATTTGATGAAAGACATAAATTTACAGATCCAAGGTGCTCCATGAATACCAAGAAGGATAACCATATGAGACACATCAGAGTCAGACTCGGAAGTTAAGAGTCAGAGTCAGAAGCCAAATGTAAATAGTAAAGCTGGAAAACAGCAAGAGAAAAATGGGGCATTATATATAGGAGGACAGTGCTTCAATTATGAGTCAACTCCTCACTATGAAATTATGAAGGCCAGAAGAGAGTGGAGCAACATTTTTAAGTGATTTTTTAAAAAAGACTGTCAATCCAGAAATCCATATCCCACAAAATATCCTTCAATAATAAGACAAAGTAAAGACATTTTAAGTTTAAAAAAAAAAAAAAGATAATTTTTCATTAGAAAATTGGCAGAGAAAATTAGACTCCATACTACAAGGAATCTAAAGAAATTCTTCAGGCTGAATGGAAATGATACAAAATGGAAATTAAATACTCAAGGAGGAATAAAAAGCAATGAAAATTATAATGGAAAATATTAAATCAAAACATTGTAAAAGACACCCATTTCAGGCTATGATTGATAAGCTTGTATCAAGCTAACCTTCCCCCATTAAAAAATAAAACAAACAAACTTAAGAAAAGAAACACAGAAGGGTAAGCCAGACATTTGGTGCACATATGCCCTCAAGGCATTTGTTCATTCAGAAGTAATGGCTAAAACACTAAGAAGTTGAACAGGATTTTCAGAACTTTCACAGGGCTGGGGCCAAAAATAGAGTTCAAGATTGCATTAAGTTGAATAGTGTTCCCCCCAAAAAAGTTAATGGTGGCGGGTGCCTGTAATCCCAGTAACTCGGGAGGCTGAGGCATGAGAATCATTTAAATCTGGGAGATGAAGGCTGGAGTGAGCTGAGATGGCACCACTGCACTCCAGCCTAGGCAACAGAGTGAGGCTCTGTCTCAAAAAAATAAAATAAAATAAAATAATTCATGTCTACCTAGAACCTCAGAATGTTAACTTTTTGAAAATAGGGTCTTTACGGTTGTAATTATTAGGTTGATGCAAAAGATAATTTGTAGTTTTTGCCATTACTTATAAGGTGGGGCCCTGGTGGGAGGTGTTTAGGTCATGGGGGCAGATCCCTCATGAATGACTTGGTGCTGTCCTTGTGATAGTGATAGTGAGTGAGTTCTCATGAGATCCGGTTGTTTAAAAGATCTTTAAAAACTAAGATGAGGGCATTGTAGAGTAGGGTGTGCCCTAAATTCAATATGATTGGTATCCTTGTAAGAGAAGAGACATGAAGACAGACACTCAGGGCAGAAGGTCATGTAACAATGGAAGCAGAGACTACAGTGATGCAGCTCCAAGCCAAGGAATGCCAAGGATTTCTGCAACCACCAGAGATTAGAAAGAGGTAAAGAATTCTTCCCTGGAACCTTCAGAGGGAGCATGACCATGCCAACACTTCGATTTTGGACTTCTAGCCTCTAGAACTGTGACAGAATAAATTTCTGTTGCTCTAAGCCACCTTCACGGTAAATATTTTATGGCAGCTAATATAGTTTGGATGTTTGTCCTCTCCAAATCTCATGTTGAAATGTAATCCCTAATGTTGGAGGTGGGATCTAGTGGGAGGTGTTCAGGTCATGGGGGCAGATCCCTCATGCATGGCTTGGTGCTGCCCTTGTGATAATGAATGAGTGAGTTCTCATGAGAGCTGGCAGTTTAAAAGTGTGTGGCACCTCCCCTTCTCTTTTGCTCCTGCTTTTGTCACGTGATATGCCTGCTCCTCCTTTACCTTCTGCCATGATTGTAAGCTTCCTGGGGCCCTCACCAGAAGCAGATGCTGGAGCCATGCTTGTACAGACTGCTAAAACATCAGCCAGTTAAATTTCTTTTCCTTATAAATTACCCAGCCTCAGGTATTTCTTTATAGCAATGCAAGAATAGCCTAACACAGAAGCCCTAGGAAACTACTACAAAGGTCAACCAAGGAAGAAGAATCTAAGAATCAGGGTGAATCATAAGTAGACCAGTCATCGCAAAGAATAAAACCTAGTTTCAAAGCAGCTCAATCCTGAATTGAATTAAGGTGAATTCTCTGTAACCTAAATGCCTGTCAAAAGCAAAAATAAACTCTCTTAGAAAAAACATAACATTATCTATCTATCCAAATTACCTCTATAATTTCTATACACATTGCCTATAACTCAATCTAAAATAATCAAACATTGCCACAAACAAGGTCTCAGGGCACAGCTTTGTTCAAGAGAGTTTCTACCACTGGCCCTGGGCTTCTGAACTCCCCACATTGTTCTTGCTTGTCACACCATTTTGGAAGTCATATTTTGCAATTGCTGTCTAAGAATTGCCACCTGTGGACTCCCAGGGCCCCAGGGTGTGCTCTGAATCTTCCCTCTCTAAATCCTTTTTTTTTTTTTTTTTTTTTTTTTTTTGAGATTAAGTCTTGCTCTGTTACCCATGTTAGGGTGCAGTGGCACAATGTCAGCTCACTGCAACCTCCACCTCCCGGGTTCAAGCGATTCTCCCACCTCAGCCTCCTGAGTAGTTGGGACTACAGGCATGTGCCACCCCATCCAGCTAATTTTTGTATTTTTAGTGGAGACTGGGTTTCACCACGTTAACCAGGCTAGCCTTGAACTCCTGACCTCAGGTGATCCCAAAGTGCTGGGATTACAGGCGTGAGCCACCGCACCCAGCCTCTGCCTCCTTCAGCAAAACAACTTGCTCTGCTCTATCTTGTCCCTTTCAGAGTGGAGACCTCTTGTTCAAAAGGAATATTCACTGGACAGCTCTGAGAACTTCAAGCCCTTACTGCCCCTTGAAACCTCTGGTCTTACCTGAAGAAACAACATGGGCTTCCTGTTCAGCTCTGCTTTTGGCAGCACTTAAAAGAAATCTGGGATTTTCTTGGGTTTCTTTTTTCTCTTACTTTTGATGAAATGTATTTTGAGGTTTATTTTCTTGTAGTTGTTTTTAGTTATCCTATTGTCTGAGTATTTTCTAAGAAAAAAAAAAAAGAGAAAATTTAGAACTAGACTTTTCAAATGCTCTTGGAACTCTCCAAAACACAAAATTGTATATTCAATATGATCTCTGCTAATACAAACATTATCTATTGAAAAATGAAAACAAAAAGAGACACAATAGAATGCTAAGAAATGATGATTGGCCGGTGATGCAATTGTAGTTTATTTCTTATTCTCTGATATTTTATGTCTCTCCTATCTTCCATAATATATATATTATTTTATATTCATAAAAATAAAGTGGTAATTATATTAAAGTATTATTTATAAATAAAAGTAAAATTTTAAAAATAAAAATGTAAGAGTAAGAAGGCATATTCTCAGTGCTGTAGAGGCCATAAAAGACGTATAAAAGAGTCCCTGTCATGAAGGATCATAGACTTTGGTAAAGTTAAGAAAAGGCAAGTAAACAATCATTTTAATATAAAGTAAGTTTGAAAGTGCCTTAAATCTCAAACAATGGGCCATGGGATTTTAGAGTAGAAGCTGGCACATTAATTTAGAATGATGAGGAAGAATTTCCACTGGGAGGGTCCACATAGGTTTTGACTCAAAAACATAGTGAGATGGAAGAGGGATGGGGAGAAAAACTCAGGTGATCAATCTAGCATAGCCCAAGATGTGGCGAGAAGAAAGCCCAGAATGTGCTTGGTGACTGGTGATTGTCCAGTTTGACTTGAGAGAGAGACCATCATAGGGAGATGAGGCTAGAAAGACAGACCTTGTGGCTTCCTTGAGTGCCAGGTTGAGACATCTGTACCTAAGTCACGAGGAATGGGAACTCCTTGGTGGCTTTTTGAGCAGAAATGAACACTAAAAGGGGCTATACTCAGGGAAGACTAATCTAGCTGTCGTGAATAGTAAGACTGTTAAGGACATTACAGCAATGAACAGACAAGAGGTAAGAATGGTGTCAGTGAACATGAAAGAGGGGACTATTCACTCACAAAATAGATCTTTACTATCTGTTTTGTCCCAGGTCCTGTGCTAAGTGCTAAGTCTACAGTGGTGAATGAAACGAATATAATCTCTGCTTGCTACCTAGTGGGAAAGAGACAAATAATTGCAAAATATCATTTTGGAAATAAAAACAACCAGCTGCTGTGTTACCACATAAAAAAGCTGCAGAAGGGGAGTGATCAGAGAAAGGCATCCCTGAAGAGATGATACAAGAGATGTAAAGATAAGGAGTTGGCTCTAGAAAGACTGGGAGAAGAGGGTTCCTGGAAGAGTGGCCAGCACAGAAAAACTCTCAAGAAGGAAAGAGCTTAGTTCATTTGAGAAGCTAAAAGGAGGGCTATGAGGCTGAGCTATATTTACTGATGGGGTGAGGGTGACGTTGGACAGTAAGGAGGTACCTGGTCCTACAGGACTTTGTAGGACAAACTAAGGATAATGAGAATGGTGCACTAAGAAAGCATCCAGCCTGAACAGATGGCAGGACTACAAGAAGCTCAAGGGAGCAAAGGAATAATTAGAAAACACTGGTGTCATTTTGAGCTCTCCAGGAAGCAGACACACCATCATGGAATCAGAAATGCAAGAGATCTGTTGCAGAGAAATCCCATGAAAAGGAAAGCAGAGATGAAGCAAGAGTAGTCAGGGAAATCCTTCAGACCATGACACAGATCTGACATCTGTGAAAGGAGACGTGGAAATGAAGAAGGATTGGAAAGGAAGAGCCTGAGGCGGCAGTGCATCTCTGAGAGTCTCAGGCCAGTGCAGGAAGGCAGAGCAAAGCAGCCTGTGAAGCAGCCCATGTCAGGCAGCAATGATCGGTTTGCATGCTCCTCCGGAGCTCAGACACTGGCTGGAGACGGCCCACGCAGAGCAGAGCTTCGGCATGAACACTGCCATGGATCCTGAAGGTACAGCAAATGCAGGCTGCCAGCTCACTACACTCCTTGCCACAAGTTCTCACTTAAAGGGACATCTGAGCAGGGCACCTCCCAGGCTCTCGCATTTGGTAAATCTAAATGATCTCTTTGGGGAAGTTATAAAACTAAGTTCAACTAAAATTTCAAATAATAGTTAACAGAGAAGACAGGAAGAAGGAGTTTGGGTTAAAGCATTTTATGATTTGACCTTCTTTCAGAAAAGGATAGAGACATGGATTAATGTTAGGTCACATGAAACATGCATATTAAAATTTTAAGGGTAACCTTTAAAAAGAATATAAAGTATATGTATAACTTTTCAAATCAGTAAAAAGACCCGAGGAACAGAGAAAACTTGATCACCATAATCAAAGGTAGGAAAATGGGGAAAGAATTAAGGAAAGCAACGTGAATAGAAAGCAATGCATAGCTCAGAGAAGCTACATGGAGGAAATAAAGTGGAAAAAGTACAGGCACGATTATTTCCTGGTCTTTCATAGTAAGGCAAGCAATATCTTCTAAAACTGATAATTCATCTAGAAGGAGTTTAAGTATTTTATAAAGATAAGCAATAGAACAAATATAAATAGCACAAAACAAAAAATGTGGAGGGTAAAAGTTGGGTAGTATAAGCAAGTTAATTATTCTTCTTTCATTGTAAGGAATGAATAGATGCTATCTAAGGTCAACACGTTAATTAGCAGAGGTAAGAATATATTACTCAGAGTATTGGGGGTAAAGCATAAGAATTAAAAATACAAATGGTTAAAAGTAATTGAGTTTAAAGACCTACTGAGGATGGAGAAGTGAAGGTAAACGTTCACATTTATTTTTTGTACTTCTGCGTTTTAAAATTTTCTGCCAGTGGATTATGGGAGCAAAGAAAGAAGAGAGTTCATAGATGGCTCCATGCTGATAGGCCAAAGAATGGGTAGTACCTTTCGAAAAAACAGAAAAGCCAGAAGGAGCAGGTAGGATATAGAAGAAGATGTATTTCTATCTCACTTGTTAAACCACTGTGCTCAAATTTCTATTTATACATCCATTCAGCAAAGAGCTCTTTAACTCATCAAATGCAGAGGCACAGGTTCACAGGCAGGCTAAGAGAGATGGAAACTACAGAAAATGGATTTGATTTTTATGATAAATAAATATTGTCTTGACAAAATATTTGATAAAAGGTTCTGGATTCCGAGCCCTCATTCGGGCAGGATCATTCCTTCACAGGGCCTGTGGTTACCCTTTTTGCTCTGAGACTCAAAAAAATTTCAGAAGGAAAAGATTGAGAAACCTGCTTTGAATTACAGCACAGCTAGGCAATATTTTTCTTAGCCAGTGGGTTTTTCTCTTTATTGCACTTTGGAACACATTGGAAGAGGACATTGGAACGTTGGAAGGGAAGGAGGTCTCTCAAGTTCCCAGCTCTAAGTTTAATAACTTGAATATATTCTGGTTAAGTCATCTTCAATAACTTGTATCCATTTTGATTGTGATTTTTATTTTCTGTAAAGCTATTTTCCAAATTTTAAACTTCTCATAATAGCATGATCCTCAGAACAATGGATTTTGTTATTGTCAGCAAGCCTTCGTCACCTCCAGGTTCCAACATCACTAAGTTGGAACCACAGATAAAAAATTATTCCATGGAACACTGAAATCTTGGGAAGGCTGTGATCTCTTCCTTCGGTGATTGTAGAAGGCATTTATTTAGAAGTCCTAGGTAAGTTCTGGGCCCTCAATTAATAAATAAATGGATGAGTAGGTAAAAAAGAATGAATGAACATGGAAAACCACCCATCATGTACAAATGCTCAATGATGTGCATGAATAATGGATGTGCTGGCAGCTCATGCACCGCATGTTAGACCGAGTGCTATGGCATGAGCTCCATGACAGCAGAAACCTCTCCTATTTATCTCTGTGTCCCCAGAGCCTAAAACACTCAATCAACTAAAAAGCAAAATGAAAATGTGACTGTCAGTGGATATTTTAGGGGGCAAATGTTATGAAACAAAAATGAAACAAAACAAAAATTCCACCCTAACTCACAAAATGCTATTTCCCCCTCTATCTGGAAAGCTCAGGATAGATCTTTAACAAAAATCAAAACTTTTAAAAATTGGTTTTAAAAACCTTAAGAGGAAGGTCTGTGAACAGAAAGCAGTAACTGATTTCTTTTTTTTTTCTAGCTTTATTGAGGTACAATTACACATAAAAATTGTGTAGGTTTACAGTGTATAAATATATATATATATACACACACACACACACACACTGTGAAATGAGCACTTCAATCAAGTTCAGTGACATATCCATCACCTCGCATAGCTATTTTCTTTTTTGTTGTGGTGAACATTAAAGATCTATTCTTTTAGCAAATTGCAAATATACAACACAGTATTGTTAACTATAGTTGCCATGCTGAACATTAGGTCTCTGGAACTTATTCATCCTGAATAACTATGACTTTGCCCAATATTTCCCATTTTTCTCACCCTAAACCCACCAACCACCATTTTACTTTCTATTTCTTTGAGTCTCGCTTTTCTAGATTTTACATATAAGTGAGATCACACGGCATTTCTTGTTCTGTACCCAGCTTATTTCACTTAACATGGTGTCCTCTGAGTTCATACATGTTGTCACAAATGACAAGATTTCCTTCTTTTTATGGCTGAATAATATTCTGTTGTGTATATATGCCACATTTTCTTTATCCATTCTACCTTCAAAGGACACAGGTTGATTCCATATTTTGGCTGTTGTCAATAATTCTGCAATGAACATGGGAGTGGATATACCTCCTTGAGATATTGCTTTTATTTCTATTAAATATATACCCACTCTGTGATTTATAGTAACCAGTTTACCTCCAGTTCACACCACACTTCACCAAGGAAACCTCCTTGACTATCGCATCCCGACTGCTCTAAGAAGCAGCATGATAAGACCCTGGAACAAATTGCCCAAAGCATCTTAGGTATTTTCTATCTGCTTTTGGCAATTTCTATGAAAATTCATTCTGGAAGATGCCAAATTTTAACTTCTGTGCAATTCTCATAATTCTGTTTTCACTGTTCACTTTATAACA